TCTCCTTGTTTTCTTGTTTTAGGTTTATTTTTATTTTGTGTGTATGGGTGTTTTGTCTGCATATAGTCTGTATACCACAAGTATGCAGTGCCCTCAGGGCCCAGAAGCTGGTGGCAGATACGGGGGAACTGGAACTACAGACACTTGTTAGTGATGGTGTGGGTGCTGGGAACAGAAGCCAGGTCCTCTGCAAGAGCAGCCATTGCTCTTAGCCACTGAGCCATCCCTCCAGCCCCTCCTTTGGTTTTTGAAGGAAGTCCCTGGCCCCTGACCTCACTCCATCATGTCCTTCTCTGGTTCTGCTTTTGACTGCTTATCTTTTCCCTCCTGAGTCACTCGCTTTTGCAATTGCCCTGAGTTCCAAGAACAGCAGGACTGATCAATAAACATCTTTATGACAAGGGACTGAAACTACCCCTTAGCAACAGCCAGCCTTGTAGGACAGATTACCCTATGATGAGATCATTCCCCAAATAGTGAGACTGTACCCTGGAGCAGGGACACCACGTGGCTCTCAAGCGACAATTATGCTATCAACTCCTTTAGACCCTCTCTCTCACAGAACTAGAATTGAGACAGTAAGCAAAGAAATCTACCTGACCATAGTCAGCTGCCCAGTAGCCGGGTCTTGTCCCTTCCCTTTTATATAAAAACCTCAGAGGTCAGGGAGATGTTTAGCTGGTAAAGACACTTGCTCTCAAGCTGATTTCTGTCCCCAGACTCACATGGTAGAAAGAGAGAACCAACGCCCCCATGTTGTCTCTGGCTGTCACAGATCATGGCCTGCACAAGCATGTGCGCACATGTGCGCACACACACACACACACACACACATACACACACACAAAAGCACATCTCAGAGTAGATCAGACCCTGGAATACAGACTTAGGAGTCACTGAACTGTCGTTTGTCATCACGTGTCCCTGCTAATGGAAGCTCCTGTGTCTGCCTGGTATTTGCTAGGTGGGATCAGGATCTGTGGCAGAGCCCAGTCCCTTGGAACTCCAGAGCCAGGACATTTGCCCTCAAACTCTGGTAACCTGTTCCGTGAGTCATGCATCCAGCAGCTCTTCCGTAGGACTCAAGTTGACCTACATTATTTTTCACTTTCTTAGATTTGGCAGGTGAGAAAACAGAGACTTAAGAGTCAGGCATAAAGCAAACACTAATTCCTGTGCGTTCAGCTGCTCTGTTCTACTGATACGGGGAAATGGAATGACACACAACGCCCCTGGCCTGAGCAGAGAAGTCCAGTCCAGATCTCAGGACTCCAGCAGAGGGCTCTCCCTTGGGACAAGGAATGACAATGGGAACCTGAGGGCAGGTTCCACCAATGCCTGCTAGCACTCCCAATTCCAGGACTGAGGATTTGGGCCCCTGCACCAGCCTCTGCCCTCAGGCCCCCCTCCCTTCCTAGAGCAAAGCTTGGGTTTCAGGCAGCTTCTCTCCACCCTCTGTCCAGGCTCATCTTCCCCTCTGCTCCTCCGAGAGAAAGCAAAGTCCCTTAAAAAGAGAAGCAGAAAATGTGCTACCTTTTTTTCCCAATTTTGTGGTACTAGGGTTTGAATCTAGGCTCTACCACTGAGTTACATCCCCAGCCCTCTTTCTACTTTTCCTTTTGAGACAGGGTGTCTCTATGTTACCCAAACTGGCCTTCAATTTGTGGTCCTGCTGCCTCCGCCTCCCAAATAGCCAGGATTACAGACCTCTGTCTTCAGGACTGACCTTCCTATCCTAACAGAGACTTTTCACAGGACTTCTTGCTGGGCAGTGGTGGCACACACCTTCAATCCCAGCACTGGGGAGGCAGAAGCAGGTGGATTTCTATGAGTTCAAGGCCAGCCTGGTCACAGAGTGAGTTTCAAGACAGTCAGGGCTACACAGAGAAACCCTGTCCTGAAAAACAAAAATGTAAAGATTTAAAAAAAAAAAAAAAGAAAGAGAGAAAAGGAAAGTCTTTTCAGAGGAAAGAGACTATAAACCCAGATATGGGAATGGGGGGTGGGAGGAGGGGCAAAGGGTGATAAGAATGGGTACCAACTATAAGACTATTAGGGAAGGTGCTCTAAATCTTTTGATTGGGCTGAGAACCCCACTAACTCCCCCCACACACACACTGACTGGGCTGAGAACCCCACTAACTCCCCACACACCCACACTGACTGAGCTGAGAACCCCACTAACTCCCCACACACCCACACTGACTAGGCTGAGAACCCCACTAACTCCCCACACACCCACACTGACTGGGCTGAGAACCCCACTAACTCCCCACACACCCACACTGACTGGGCTGAGAGCCCCACTAACTCCCCACACACCCACACTGACTGGGCTGAGAGCCCCACTAACTCCCCACACACCCACACTGACTGGGCTGAGAGCCCCACTAACTCTCCCCACACTCAGAATGCAGCCTCTCTCCTGGAAGCAGTGCCTGTGTGGAGTGGCTCACAGTCTGCCTCTGCCTGAGGACCCGGGCTCTGTCAGTCAGTTGTCATAGGGCCCACTCTCAGAATGTTCCAGATGTGGATGATCTTGCCTCAAGCAATCCACCAAACAGTTCTGGGGAGCAGATATTGTCCTGAGCAGAATTCGAGTCACAGAAAGACTGGCTCAGAGCCAAGAAGTAGAGAAGGGAAGTGTTTTGTTTTCTGAGTCTTGGGTTCCTCCTCTATTCAGAGGGTGCAACAAACTAAATCAGCAGGGCTGCAGGCACAGTGGGTGCTCAGTAAACACGATTCTCTGCCCAACTTGATGGAGTCAAACACGGACAGTTTGAATCACCTCAGAGCTTTGTTTCAGTTGATTTTCAGACAGTCCTGGGGCTGGCTTGGAACTTGGTGCGTAGAACAGACTGGCCACAGGGCTAGAGAGATGGCTCAGCAGTTAAGAGCACTGGCTCCTCACCCAAAGGATCTGGGTTTGATTCCCAGACCCCACTTGGAGGCTCATAACGGCCTGTAACTCCAAGCCTCAGGCGATCAGACACCCTCTTCTGGCCTCCGTGAATACTTTGTCAAAAAACAAAAACAAACACCAGAAAACTGAAAACAACCAAAAAGGACTTAGTCGGGGCCTGGGTCAGGGCCTAGGGAGGGTTCTGTGGTTCAGTGGATGCCACACAAGTGTGAAGACTGAGTTTGGACCTCCAGAACCCATGTAAATGCTAGTTGGGTACAGTGGCTCACCTATAATTCCAGCCTCCATAAACACCGGCAGAGAACAGCCAGAACAAGCTGGCTGGTAGACTGGCCATATCGGTAAGCTCTGGGTGCAACTGAGAGGCTCTGCCTCCTTGACCGACATAGAAACATCAAAGATGAATCCAGATATCAGCCTTGGGTTTCCATATGCATATGAACCCACATGTCTGTGCACACATACTTGCAAATATGCATACATCCATGCATACCACACATACACACACATACTCACACATAAAATGGAAAAAGAAAAAACATCATAAGGAACAATTTGGTAGTGTGTGCCTATAAACCTTACATGGAGGAGGCAGAGGCAGACTGGAAGGAAGAGAACTCAGGCTGTTGTGCGTGTTACAAAAGCATGCTACCAAAGGCATGCTTAGCTCTTTCACAATGCATTTAGTAGATTTCTGGTTTTAATTTTGTTTTTGTTTGTTTGTTAGTCAGTTTGGTTTTTTTTTTTTTTTTTTCAAGATAGCATTTCTCTCTGTAGCCCTGGCTGTCCTGGAACTCGTTCTGTAGACCAGGTTAGCCTTGAATTCAGAGATCTGCCTGCCTCTGCCTCCTGAGTGCTCATTGCTCCTATGCCCTATTGCCAATATATACCTGAACAGTTCCTGCTGCGCACGCCCACCGAAAAGCTTCCCTGGCCAGTGATCTGGAGCTGGCGCTTTGGCTTTGCTCTCTTAGATACTGTTAAATGCATGGTGGGCTGGATGTGTCATATTTAAAACCATTGCTTTCTGTGTTCGAGTGTCAGCTCCACGTCTCTCCTTCCTTTCGCTCTCAGCATCAGGACAGGGTCCCTGTCTGCTGTCACGGCAGCTAGCACACCCGCTGGACAGAGACGGCGCTTGCTGGGGCTTGGATGTAGTTCAGTGGCTGAGTGCCTGTCTGGTGTGGACAAAGCCTGGGTTCCATCCCAGCACCACAGAGAGAGAGGAGGAGGAATTGGATGGTAGCTTAGTTGGTAAAGCACCTACCATGCACATGTAAGGATGTGAGTCTGACTCCCAGAAGACATTTTTTAAAAGCACTGGGGAGGTGGAGACAGGTGAATCCCTGGAGCCAGCCTTGCCTAATTGATATGTTCAAAGCCAGTCTCACAAGGTGTGGGCTGGGTGGATGCCTCGCTGGATAAAGCATTTTCTGTGCAAGCGTGTGGACCAGGGGTGGGATCTCCAAGCACCAGGTAGATGTGGGACAGGTGTGGAGGCTAAGTGCAATCCCAAAATTTAGGCGGCAGAGAGAGAGAACATTCTGGAGCAGACTAGACATATACATTATCCAGAGTTGGTGGGTTCTAGGTTCAGCAAGAGACACTGCCTCAATAAATAAAGTAGAAAGCAACTAAGGAGGACATCTGTCATTAATTTGGAGCCTCCAGACACATGTATGGCCACACAAAGAACATGCATATACATACATGTCACACACATATGCAAAATGATAATGATGCATTTTTTTTTAAATATTTATTTTATTTATTTATTATGTATACAATATTCTGTCTGTGTGTATGCCTGCAGGCCGGAAGAGGGCACCAGACCTCTTTACAGATGGTTGTGAGCCACCATGTGGTTGCCGGGAATTGAACTCAGGACCTTTGGAAGAGCAGGCAATGCTCTTAACCACTGAGCCATCTCTCCAGCCCCAATGATGCATTTTTAAAAGTGTTCCCAAAGCAGGGTTTTGGTGGAGCATGCCTTTAAATCCAGCACTGGGGAGGCGGGGGGGGGGGGGGGGGGGGGGGCGGCGGGGGCGGGGTGCCAGAGGCAGGCATATCTCTGTGAGTTAGAGGCCAGTCTGGTCTACAAAGCGAGTTCCAGGACAGCCAGAGCTAAATGGTGAAACCTTGTCTCAACAAAAAAAGGTGTTCCCCAAAAGCTCCAGGTAGGTAGCACCCAAGAAATGACATCTCTAAGGTTGATTTCTGTCTTCCACATGCAAGTAGACATACAAACTCACAAAGTAAATAAGTAAACAAATAAACATTTGTTGAATGAATGAGTGAATCCAAGTCCACAGTAGGTCTGGAAGTCTCAGAATCTCTTCATTACGTTCAATATAATATGTGTGTATGTGTGTATACACATTTGTGTGTGTATAGCTATACACACATATACATACATAGAAAGAGAGAAAAATAACAGGGAGTACAGCCAGCCCTCTATGCCCATGGGTTGCACATCTGTGGATTCAACAATCTTTGATTAGAAAATCTTTGTGGGGGAGATTACATCTATACTGAACATGTTGAGACGATTTCCCTTGCTATTATTCCCTAAACAACACAGTGCAGCAACTCTTTACACAGCATTTACATTGTATTAGGCATTATAAGTCATCTGGGCATGATTTAAAATATGCTGCAGGACTGCTAGAGCTCTATGCAAATTCTACAGCATTTTATACAAAGGATTGGACAGCCATAGATTTAAGCAACCAGTGGTGAAGCAGTCCCGGCACAGATCCCTCCAAGGATCCAAGGTTGACTATACTCATTTCTCTGAGACAAATGGAGAGTCGTGCAAAAGCCTCCTTCATCTCCTCTCTACGCCCACAAGAGCCCCTCTGCTTGCTCCAGCTCCCTGTCCTAACTGATGCTCCTTCTGTGGTCCGTCTCTGTGGAACATCCAGGTCAGATGGGCCCTTTCTGGAGCCAGGCTCACCTCACCAGGCAGCAGCTTCGGCCTGGTGAGATAACATCACCAAAAGCCCCATGCATACTCAGGAGAAGTGCTTTCTGGGGGGAGCAGAATGAGGAAGAGTGTCGCTGGCAGTGACCCAACACCAGTCAAGGTGAGGGAGATGATGATGATGATGGCCATGGTGACAGGGTGGGACTAAGAGCTGTGGCCCGTGGTCCTGGGTGGAAAGAGGATGAAAAGGAGACAGCTAAGAGAATATCATCGCCTGCTGCCAGCCCCTGCTTCATTGTCCCACCCAAACCCCAGCCTGCTACCTTCCTCTGAATATCCCCAAGCTTTCCCAGCACTTGAGCGAGGGCAAGTATCTCAGCAGAAGCCGGGTCTCATCCTCACCTTTGCTCTCTTCGTGGCTAAGGGGCCGGGCACTAAGCTAAGATATTTACACACACCCTTCCAGTCCATCTTGACTCACAGCACTCACAGAAGGTCACACTCGCACTATGTTGTGACAAATGAGAAAACAGAGGGTCATTTGTCTGTTATGCCATTTGCCTAACTGTCATAAACAGCAGTTATGGCATTGGCCCGTATCCAAGCCTAGATCTCAGCGGCATTGCTACGCCTGTTCCCCAAAGGGTACTGCTTAGAACCATCATAAACCCCTAATCCTGACAAGGAGCGCCTCAACAGCTGCACCACCCTTCCATCATTTTGATGGTAGCTTCCCCTTCATGCTTAGGAGAGGTGCTGCAATTACTGACACCACCTCTGGCATGAGGGAGCTGAAAGAAAGGCGGAATCATAGGATGTCAGGCTGGCAGAGACCTAATGTCACATGTTCAGCTGGCAGGTGAAAAACCAGAGGCCCACAGAGGCTTCCCATAACCATCTAACAGTAGCCATTGAGATCTGGGATGGGGGCTTCTAGGTATTTCTGCTCAGGTCCCTGCTCTGATAGATATCCATTTTGATTTGAGGGTAGGTTGTGGGGCTTGAATCTAGAGACTCCTGCTCGCTAGGCAAGTACTCCGCCACTGAGCTATAATCCCCAGCTCATACATTTCCATTTTGAATTTCAGCTCTCTTACCAGAAAGCCCCTGGGAGCTTTCTGCTTCTTCTCATTTTGTGTATCTTTAAAGAAAACTGTGCACAACTCATCTCCCTCCCATTGGATTTTGTCCTTTGGAGCCAGGGCCCCTCTCCCCCTTCCTCCTCTTCACACCCCCAGATCATCTTCCTCCTCTTCCTTCTCTTGCAGCTAGAACAGGATCCTGAGGCATCCGGGTCCCACTGTGGTCATGTGCTGGCCAGCAGGGGCTATCGGGTCTTCTGACTGCCGCAAAGAGCTGCTCTCTGCTGCTTCTCTCCTCTCTCAGGGTTGCTGGGAGATTATTAGATAATTTTCAAATTTGTAAAGTGCCTTAAGCTCCTCGGAGGCAAGGTGGTATATGAGTGTAATAACAATAACAATCCTATCTGTCAGAGCCATTGAGAAAATGAATCTTGTTATCCTCAGGAACCAGCCTAGAAACCGCAGCAAGGAGCACCTAAGCAATGTATGCGGCTCGGTTTCCTGACCAATCAGGGACAGGTAAAGTGCCACCCCAGCCAAAGTGTCATTGCACACACACACACACACACACACACACACACACACACACACGGCCCAGGGCTAGCAGTAAAGGGCTCTCAGAAAGTTATCCAAATTGCCTCTGACGCTTCACCAATTAAAATGACTTTAGGACAAGTTGAAATCAACTTAGGGAGCAAAGCATTCTGATTTCTGAACCTCTCAGAAGGCAGCCGGGAAGGCAGGTGTCTGAGCAGGTTGTCACTCACTCAGGAGTAATGACGGGAAATCCATCAGGGACAGCGATTGAGTCTGGAGAATTAGTAAGGCTGTTTACACCGTAGCTGGGAGTCGGCGGGGCTGGCCAAGGCTGGGCTCTTGACGGCTGTGGCAGCTTCTCTGCTAATGAGCTTCTCCAACTCCACACTCCCCCGCTGGACTCACTGCTGCAGACTTCAAGTCTGGCTGTGTCTGACCTTTTGGTGAGGACCTCAGGGCAGGGTGACTACAGACAGGCAGAACTGTATTCAAGTTCTGGCTCTGTCACTGCCAGTCTTCCAGTGTTGGGCAAAGCTCTGTACTTCTCCAAGCCTCGGTTTCCCCAGGGCTAACATCTGCTTGAAGAGACAGGTGCATATTTGTCATCCTGGGAGGATCAAAAGTTCAAGGCCTGCTCAGGTTACTTAGGCAGTTCTAGGCTAGCCTTTGGTACCTGAGATCCTGTCTCAAAAACACAAAAAGCAAAGTAAAATCTACAGTGATAGCACAATTTACAGTTGTCTGGTGAGGACGGAAGCAGGCTGAGATGCCTTCTGCTTGGTGGGCACAGAACAGAAAGGAAGTCAGTTTACCTCCTTAGCCCTAGGGCATCCATCTCTTCGGAGATTGGGAGACACAAGGAGACAGAAACCATTGGGAAAATAAAACCACATTTCAAGCCACAGCCCTGCCCCACCCTGGCGGTGTGATTATGCCTTAGCTTCATCATCTGCAAAATAAAAGAAGCATGTAATCCCTCTCTAAGCCCATCAGAAACTCGCTAGGAGAAATTACAGAAAACTGCACTGGGACCAGCTGCAGTCAGATTAGAACCAGACTTCCCGGCAATGGCAGCAATAAGCCCACTCCTTCCTAGGATCCTCGGCTGTGTTGGAGGGAAGGCAGACATGAGAGCCCCAGAGCTGCTCTACAGACATGAGGAGGAACACTGTGGCCTAGCAGTCCCAAGGGCTTTCTTTGATCCTCGTTGTCCAAGGCTTTGTAGAACCTAGAGTGACCCTGAAGGGAAATCTCTGGTCCTGTCCAGGAGCAAAGGTCACATCCTCACCGACAAGCCCCAGTCAGCCATGGGCCATGACCCTATTATTTAAGCTTTTCATGAAAGGGCAACCCCTGAGGCTGGAAGAATGGCCGGGACTGACTTTTCCGGACAGGAAGTAGGAGCAGCTGGACCTAAGGCCTGGGTTGACCTGTGCAGCACTCTGGGCTGGACTGAAGACTTCCAGACTAAACCAAGTGCTTCGGTGGCTGAGAAGAAAGCCCTGGATGGCACAGGGGCCTCTCTTCTGCCTTAGCCTGGCCCACCGGCATCTCCACGCTGCTCGTGGACTCTGCTGACTTTATTGTAATTTCCGACTTGTCATGGTTAATAGCAGCCCTTTGTTAATCACTGTGTGTTTTTAAAGGAAAAGGAAAAGAAATTCCCACAGGAGACTCTCACTTGGCTAAAGCAATGGGAGGTGAGGAAGGGAGAGGGTCTGGGGTAGTGAGGTTGCCTGCCTGGATTCTGGTCAGCCAACATTTGAGGCTATGGACTGCCAAAGTGAGGGACATCATGTCTCTTCCTGCCTTCTTTTGGGACAGCTCCTCACCCCGACCCATACTTATGCCAGAGGCCCTACCTACTCACCAACCTCATACTTTTAACAGGAGAAGCCTAAGAAGAAAGTCTGTATATACACCAGAAGACCTGGGACCTAGGGAACAGCTCCCAGGGGCCTGTCAGAGTAAAGATCTTTCAGTTAGGAAACAGCTAGAATTCAGGGCTCATATATTAAAATTTAGCCATAAAGCTCAGTGATAGCACGCTTGCCTAGCAAACATAAAGCCCTGGGTTCAATCCCCAGGAACGCATTTTTTAAAAAATAATAAATAGGAGCCGGGTGGTGGTGGTGCACGCCTTTAATCCCAGCACTCGGGAGGCAGCTCTTGGTGAGTTTGAGGACAGCTTGGTCTACAGAATGAGTTCCAGGACAGCCAAGGCTACACAGAAAAACCCTGTCTGGAAAAAAAAACTAAGAAAAAAGGGGGGGAAAGGTTCCGAGGAAATGGCTCATCCCGTAAAGTATTTGCCTAGCAATCACGAAGACCTAAGTTCTATCCCTAACACACATGTGAAAAGCCAAACACAGCGATATGCACTGTAATCCTGACACTGGGAAGGCAGAGACAGTGCAGGTGACTGACGCTGGGGCTCAGTGACCATTCAGCTTAGCCTGTGGGTGAGTTCTAGGTTAATGAGACATCCTGGCTCAAAAAAAAAGCTGTTGGGGGAGTTGGATGGTGCCTGAGAAACCATACTTCTGGACCCAGCCTGTCCATGCACACACACACACACTCACATACACACACATATACACACACTTACATACACACACATACACACACTCACATACACACACACGCACACTCACACACACACACACTCACATACATACACACACGCACACTCACATACACACACACTCACGTATACATACACACACACTCACATACACACACATATACACACACTCACATACACACACGCACACTCCCATACACACGCTCACACACACACACACATACACACACTCACATACACACACGCACACTCACACACACATACACACACTCACATACACACACGCACACTCACATACACACACACTCACATATATACACTCACATGCACACACACACTCACATAACACACTCACATATATATATACACACACACATACTACAACACCAAGAGAAAGAGAATGGGTATGGGGTCCAGGTCCCACCAGAGGCGACTGTGGTTGGCCACTAAGAACTGTAGGTTGTAGGGCAACTCAGCAGGCCACAGGCCATTCCATGCAGTGGAGGGGGCCAGGATTTTCAAGGGGCTCCAAAAGCTAGCCTGTCATGTTCTTATCCAGAGTCATCCGGAGTCCCAGACTCGGGAAGCATTGGTAAAGAGTAGGGGCAGGGAGAGAAGGGAGCCAGGGGGAAAGGGAGCTGGGGACACAGACTCCCCAGACAGAGAAGGATGGAGACGGAGAAAGAAGTTCATACAATCTAGAGGCACTGATTAAAATCCTAGCAGAAAATGTAACGGAGGGACTTTCTATCTTTCTATTGAGACATTTAACCTAAAAGAAATGAGTTAAATAATTTATACAGAGAACAAGTGAAATTTGCTTTGATCAAATTAAAAAATATGACTGTGGAAATAAAGTGTCCGCCGCATCCTTCTCAGGCGGCGGAAAGGGCTGCCGAGAAACAAAATGACAGAGACATAAAAATAACTAACCCTAACCCGGCGAATATTAGCACCATATTTTTTGGGAGATTACACGGCGTCACTGTAGGCCACGCAGAGAAATCCTCGCTAAGCACCAACAGGAGAGGTCTCTCTCATTGTGGAAGCTCCATAAAACCCAGAAAATGGATAAAATTTTCCTTTGTAAAAGCAATCTGACTTCACTCAGGGGTTGGCCCAAAAGCCACAAGGGATCAAATCAAATTTCCCACTTGTGCCTTTCCGAAAAGGAAGAAAACTGCTTAGCTTCCCACCCCATCTCTGTGCTTCTTGAAGACACCTCCCCTTCTCCCATTTATCCTGCACACACCACACACACACACATGGGCTCATACACTCGGCTATGACTTTTTTCTTTGTCTTTTTTTTGGGGGGGGTAGCATTTGAAACAGGGAGTCACTTTGTTACTATAGCTGACCTGGAACTCATCATTTAGCCTGGACTGACCTCAAATTTGTAATTCTCCAGCCTTTACCTTCAAGTACTGGGATTCTGTATAGGTCCGGACCTCCACACCAGACATTCAAACTTCCTACATACTTTCTCCCCCTTTGCTTGCTTCTACCTCTCCAGGCCTGGGATTACAGCCATGCATCACTGAGCCTATCTGGTATGGGGATAGATCCTAGGGCTTTTAGCACAATAGGCATACTCTAAAAAGTGAACTACATCCCCAGCCTCCCTCATTTGATCCTTTGGGGAGGGGGGGTGCGTGCGCGCACCATATGCATTCAGTACTTGTGGAGGCCAGAAGAGGGCGTCAGTGCCCCTGGGACTGCAGTTACAGATGACTTCTGGAACTGGAGCTACTTAGAGATGGTTGTTAGCTGCAGTATGGTGCTGGGAACGAAACCTGGGTCCTCTGGAAGAGCAGCCAGGGCTCTTAATGCCTGAGCTGTCTCTCTACCCCTGATCTGCTCTTAGGAAACATCTCAGACCAGTTCTGAGAGTCCTGAGCAAGATGAACATGGATACCACTCACTGACTTAACCACTCAGCCTCAGCCAGTCACCCTGTACGGTGGACTTGCCTGGCTCCCCTGGCTAGCACATGCCTGTAATCACAGCACTCTGGGAGCAGAAAGTCAGGATGATGGACGAAAGCCACAGTCAGCCTGATCTACATTGTGAAATCTGGTCAAAAGGAGGAGGAGAGGGAACAGAATAAACAAGCTGCCATAGTACAAAGGGAACCCCTCTGGCTGCTTGGGGTGTATCTTCCTCTTCTACTGGGGGGAGACCAGTAAGTAAAACAGAGAAGCCATGATCTACCTTCATCCACATCCACTCCATCTTCATACCTCCTCCTGGAGAGTCTGCTGGGCACCTGTAATCCAATCTAGGAGTGAGAGTTCAGCTTGGCTTGTACCAGTCCTACTGGCTTTGGGGGTTCAGATGACCCAAAAAACTCTTAACTCTGAGGAGAGGTTAAAAGCCAGACAGTGGGGGCTGGAGAGATGGCACAGGGGCTATAATAAGCACTGGCTGCTTTTCCAGATGACCAGGGTTCAATTCCCAGGACCCATAGGGCATCTCACAACTGCCTGTAATTCCAGTTCCAGGGACTCGACACCCATGGCAAAGCACCAATGCACATAAAAATTTTAAAAAATCATACAGTAACTGCTTCAAGTTCTGGCTTCACCACTTGTGTACTTGTGTGCCCACAACCAAGCTAACTCCTCCTCACCTGCAGAAAGAGCAGAAACACTTTCCAAGAATGGAATTGAGTACGGGCATGCAACAGGGTATCCAGAATTTGCAAAAGTTCCATAAATGTAGATTTTTTTTGCAGTGACCTTGATCAAGGCATCAAAGGTCACAGTAGATTTTCTCCCCAACTCCTTAGTTATGGTTTCTGACTCTCCACAGAGAGAATGTCTAACTGGCCTCTGTTCTGCCTGCACCATGGAGAGGGCTGTGGTTTGCAGCCCTGGCTGCACAGATGAAGGGCATCAAGATAAAGGCACAGTTCAACCCGAGGTCACATGGACGTGTGCTTTCTCCAGAGAGTGAACCCCTGGCAGCTGTTCCCTTCCCAAAGACCCACCATGTGCCAGAGAGAACCTGAAGCCAAGATTGGCTTCTCCTGAGGAAGCTTTGTGTTGTCTGTCTGTCTGTACTTTGATTTTTTTTTTTTTTTTTTTGGTTTTTCGAGACAGGGTTTCTCTGTGATTTTGGAGCTTGTCCTGGAACTAGCTCTTGTAGACCAGGCTGGTCTCGAACTCACAGAGATCCGCCTGCCTCTGCCTCCCGAGTGCTGGGATTAAAGGCGTGCGCCACCACGGCCCGGCCTGTACTTTGATTTTTGAGACAAGGTCTCCTGTAGCTCAGGCGGGTCTCTAACTCGCTATGTAGCAGAGGGTGGCTTTGAACGTCTAGTCCTCCTGCCTCCACCTCCCAGGTGCTGGAACTTTAGGCGTGCACCACCAAGCCTGGCTTCTAGAACACTGCAGCAATGCAGGCGCTGTCTCTAGTGAGACTGAGCTTTCTGTCCCAGAGGGTGTGTGAGCAGAACCCAAGGGACATACAGAGGGGTGTGTGTGTTCAGTGGGGGCCACTCTGCAGGAACCCTGTGCAATTTTCAGCATGTCGAGACGACTTGCGCTCAGAAGCTGCCGGCCTTTGTGGGCTCGAGATGTTGGCTTTCTTCTTTTCTGTGCACCTCCTCTTTTTCCTCTCCCTATGATTGATCTTCTCCTCTCTCCACCCCCTCCCCAGGACCCTTGAGAAATGCAAAACCCATATGAGAATAGAATCTCATATTATGTGCATATTATGATTGTGTGTGGTGGAATGCTGTGAAGATAAAGGAGGGAGAGGTAGAGAATGGAAAGGCAGGCTCTCTCTCTCTCTCTCTCTCTCTGTGTGTGTGTGTGTGTGTGTGTGTGTGTGTGTGTGTGTGTGTGTAAGAGGGGGAGGGATTGAGGCATGCGATATCCACAGCAGGTGTGCTGATGTCGTCCAGGAACCGGGCTGTGGGTGAGCCCAGGGCACACGAGTGTGTGCATCCGGGCAAAGCTGCTGAGCCACGGTGCCAGTGCAAGTGTGTCAACCCTGGGATGGGGTTGAGCCTGCTTTTATCTCCTCTGGCTGTGCAGGATTTACAAGCTTTTGAAATGCAGGATTAATAAGAAGAGGCCGGTGTTTTAATCTATAATGGAACAGAAAGTATCATTATTGTTAAATAATGCACAGCCTGTCGTTTATTAAGAATTAATGGTTTATCGAGTGTTCAGGTTGCAGCAGCCGCCTGTGCCCTCCCTGGCCTGGGATTCTAGCTGGTGGCCTGTCCCTCAGTCTTGTCCCCCAGGCCCGCAGGCTGTAGGGACAGCAGCCACCAGTGGGTGGCCTGAGAAGCTCAGAGCTTCTGCTGAGAGGTTTAGCCTCTCTTAGTGGTGTCCCCCCCCCCCCACCCGGTGGGTCAGAAACAGGGAGGCAGACTCTGGGGAGACATGACACAGTGATCCCGTTCACTGACTCAGCCTGGATCCTCTGTCCATCCCATTTTAGAGAGAGGAAGATTCCTGCCCCACCATATTTCAGGCTAGGAGGCTGTCTCCATTCTTGGAAGTCGGGACAGTAGAGACCCAACTATTCGGGAAGTTCCTTCCTCCTGGGCCTGGAGTGTGGTGCTACAATTTTCTCAGGGGAATTGGCATCTAAAGAGACCTCTTGGCTGGAAAGAAGGAAGCCACAATAACCAAGGACTTTCTACAGGCCAGGCATTTCCCAGGCATCATTCCATTGTGACCTGTGTCACCAACTAGTGCAGGTGTTCCCATCCTTTAGATGGGGAAACTGAAGCTCAGAACTTACAATATTCATCCAAGGCCACATCACAGATGGACCGAGAGCCAAGCCATTCTTTTTTAAAGACCTATAGTTCATGGTGGCCTTGAACTACCACGCAGCCACAGCCACGCACCCGTGACCTTGAACTCCTGATCTTCCTTCCTGACTCCACCTCCTGCATGCTGGGATTGCACATCTGTGCCTTCACATTTAACTTAGAGCCAAGCTGCTTTCCCCCTCCCCAATGTTTTTCCAGTTCAGGCCTTGGGGCAATAGCTCTAGGCTTCCCCGACGCTTTAAAACAGTTGATTTTCAAGGACAGTGTCTGAGAACCTCTACCGGGCCTCTATGCCTGCCCCGTGATGCTTCAACTGTAACAATGCATAAACAAAACAACAAAAACCTCAGCAAATCTAGCATCTCCCCCAGCAGAGAGCACTGAGGGCAGAGCCAGGTGATGCTACAGATGGCAGCCAGGGTCCTGATCCCCAGTCAGATCCATCCTTGAACGCCTTGCTTACCCCATCACCCACCTGTTTGTATGGTTTGACTCTCTAGCCAGAAAGACTCGACTCCAGATCCAGCTTCTGATTGCGTGTCCTCTACATCTGTGGCAGAATCAGCACCCTGTGACCTTGAATAAGTTCCTCAACCTCTCTGAATCTCTGGTGGATGTCGTAATAGGCCTGCCTCAAAGGATTATTGTAAGTGCTCAATGAGGTCATCCCTGTCAGCCTGCAGCACAGACTTGACAGTAAACACTGGGTTGATACTGGGGAGGAGTGGTGCTGCTGGGGCTGCTGACTCCAGCAGATATTCGCAGCAACCATAGGCCACCAGTTCCCGCCCCATTCCTCCCCTGCTGTGCTTATGCAGTGGGCACATACTCGGCACCTATTCCCCAGGCTCTGGGCTGGGCACCTGTGGTCAGCCTGAGGCCGTGCTGAACAATGTCTGCCCTTATCAAACCTTCAAGCCCTCTTCCCCTCCTTCCTATAGTCCCAGCTCCAATCCCTCTCCTCTCGGCCTTCAACCTTGCACCTTCTGAAGCCCCTCTCTGTACCTACCCCACCTCATCTCTGCGCCCCATGCTCCACTCTTCTTCTATTCCAAACAACGCAGTGTTTGCCAGCTGCCTCCTTCCTACTTCTTTCCTCTTCCCCCCTTGTCTCCTTCCCCCTCGTCAAGAGCGACACCACTCTTGTCTCAACAGCAACTCGCTCTACTCTTCCTTCCCATCCCCAGCCTTCTCCCATCTCAGTTACTGGGGTCCTGAGGTTCTGTTGGGGGTGGTGACACTGCCCCTAGAGGCCATTGTGGGAAGGCGCACTATGAGAAAATGAACCCCCAATATCCCAGAGCGGGCACAACCCCAGCACCTGCAGTGGGTGGAGCCCCTGATTGGCTGGAGTGGGGCGGGCACTAACTGCGCTCCAGCGAGCTCCTCACTCCCCACCCCCACTGTCCTCTCTCCTCTGGGCGGGCCACCACGCTGGGACCTCGGCCCACAGCCGGGCTCCTCACGCGGATCCTGTTTTATTAACCTGCCTGTCGCTGCTCTCACCACTGAATAGGGCCTAGGGGGGGGGGGGGAGGGAGGGAGCTGCGAGGTGGGGGCCGGGCTTTGCGGGAGATCACCATGGAAACAGCAGCTCGGCCAATCAGTGGGCAGGCAGGCCGAGTGCAGCGGGCAGCTCGGTCTCTGAAGCCTCGTGCAGCCACCGGCTGACTCCTGCCTGACAGGCGGTCTGCAACCCCTGCGAGGCAGAGGATGAAAGGGGGGACAAGACCCTAGGGGAAGTGGCACCGGCAATTGAGTGGCGGAGCGGCCGTGAGGCTAGAGGCACTGGGGTGTGTGTGTGTGGAGGGGGCTAGAATAGAAGATAAAGAGACTGGGGGGAGCAATGCTGGCGACGAGCCCTGGCGTTGAGTGACAGTGACAGGACTACAGGAGCCCGACACAGGAAGCCCAGTCTCTCCCTGGTGGAAGTGTTCCATCGAAGCCAAGGTTCCTCGCTGGTTGGGATCACTCCATTCTTTGTGTGGGAAAGGACCGACTTTGCACCTACGGCCAGCCAATAGCACTCCCTACCCACCCCCCCAGTTATGACAAGCAAAGATGACAGCACACATTGTTGAATGCCGGGGTGGGGGGGCAGGTCTGTCTCTAGTCAGGAACCGCTGAGCAGCACTATTAGGCAGTGGTCACTATTCATGAAATTTGTTGCCCTTGAACTGGCTTCCCTGCGAGAAAGGAGGAGGACAAGGAGGGGAAGTGGAACAGGAGAAGGAGGAGCCAGAGGGAGCCAGGCTAGGGTCCAGGTGGGTGGAAGGGGAGCGGGACTCCAGTTTGGGCTGCGAGGAGCAAACAAAGCAAGCTCTCTAAATTCCTTCCTCCCTGCCCAGCCTTGCCCAGCTGTCCTGCAGACTCACTCCAGACACCACATCCAGGAAGTCCTCCCTGGTTGTCTCATGCCGTCACTGGATTTCCTTTCCTTCGGAACAGTCACTCGCCCCTGCCTCCACCACATCCCTCTGACTCACTGCTAAGAGTTGTCACCCCTGCTGAGGGAGAGCCTTCCCTCTGCCAGGCCCTGACAGACTTCATTCCCATTTCCTCATCTCATTGTCACAGCTCCACGCGCTGAGTACCATTATCATCACCGTTTTGCAGGTGAGAAAGGCGAGGCTCCCATTAGCAAGCTCGCTCAGGACGGATCACAGAGACAGCGGCGAGGATTCAAAGCAGGTGGTCAGGTCTGAGGGCTTGCCTGTCTAACCTCAGACGTGTAGTGCGAAGCTCGCGGCTCCTGGGTGGGTCTGAAGCCCCTTGCAATGCCCAGCACGCACTGGTGAGTAGCAGACACTGCCGAACTGCTCTGAATAGTATGGTGGTTCTGTGTGAACAGCCAGGCACCGAGCCCAAGAAGTCTAAGACTGAAGCAACTCATGGCGCTGGTCCCCAGAATGCCAGCAGGGTTTGCTGTGGCATGGTCTAGTGGGGTCGGTCCCGCGAAAGGAAGTAGTACCACTGAGACTATTTTTTCAGCCACACTACCTCACCAGTTCTCCGATGGAGGCTGGGCCATGGCCCCCCCCTAGTGGCCAGAAGGTCACTCTGATGACGGGGGCGTCCCCCAGTGTACCTGAAGATCTCCAACACAATGGTCTTCTCACCTGGCTAAATTCTCAGACTTCAGGGCATGCCCTCGGGAGTTAGAGCTAAACACCTCAAGGGACTGGACTTGCCCCAAACTGAGCTTGACAGGACAAACCTCCACCCCTTCCCCTCTCCCCACAGAAAGTGTCCCTTCCCTCCACCCCTAACACATTTGAAAAGGTGTTGCCCTCAAAGGACTCAATCAGAGCCCTCCTTCACAATGGCCAGAATGATTCCACCCCCGTCCCAGCAAGAGGGGGCTTGAGGCTGCGGGGGCATCGCTAGGAAATATTGAATAACGCCACCTCCCATTCAGGTTAGGGTTTTGGTCTGGAATCCAGGAGCTGGAGTCCCAACGGGCTCCCATCATAACCGCTACCCCCACACACCATGCACCACCCGCCTCCCTCAGGAACCTGCCACACACGCACAGCACCTCGGCTTTGAAGGCAGGGCTCCTGGCAGGCTGCTGTTCCCATGGCAACTCCATCCCAGGCTGCCCTACCCAGTACTTTCCTCCACCCCCTTCCTCCACCCTGAATCCATATCACCTTCATTCACAGAACAAGTACAGCATCACATCATCAAAGTGGACACCCCTTCCTCCCAGGCCTTTCTCCATCCTTGTTTTCTTCCCCTTCTCATTCAGTGGGAAGCCACAAGCTGGGAAGGGGAGGGGTGGAGAGAGTGGAGGTGGCAAGAGGCTGAGCTGCGGTGGGTGAAAGGAGAGGGGAGAAACCGGAGGGAGCCATGGCTCAGCTCCCCTTCACAGTGCTGTGGTCCCCAAGGTTTGGCCTTCTGTTCTCATTCCCAGAGTTATTTCATCTCGGTGCATGGGTCTGTACCTTTCCTGGATGAAAGTCCAAAGCACAGACAGGCTCCCCATGATCCCCAAGACTCACATTGGGGCTCAACCTCAGAGCCCTGGTGCTGCCTCCAGCCCCCAACCCCAAGGCTGCTCCCCATTCTGAGCTGGTGCCCCTTGCTTGGGAAAGACACTCCTTGTCAGAGTCAATGGGAGCACTGAAATCTCGGGTGGGTCAGTGGGCAGAGCTGGTGGAACCTCAACCCCCATTGTTGCTTAGGCAATGTGACTCCTCCGACTAGGGAACCTTGACTTTGGCGGGTGCTGTTGGAAAGTCCAGAGAAGCCTGCTCCGGCCAGCATCAGTCCTCTGTCTTCAGGAGGTCCAGGGGCGATGGTCACAACACAGCTTTAGAGCTGGCAGCCGGGACTTGAATTGCAATGCTCTCATTTGTCCTCCACAGGAAGCTTGTCTCCTCTGCCTTGATTCCCATGTCTGAACAACGGAGGCAGCAATGGCACACAGGCCTTGAGTTGCAGTATTTCATTTACTCCTTGCGGCAGCTCAGCGGGGTAGAATGATTGTTGTCTGATCTACAGAAGGGAAACTGAGGCTGGGATAGTCAGCGGCACAGCGGGACTTTAATCAGGCAATAGAAGGTATTGGTGGCCCAGAGTCCATACACAGCAGCTAAGTCTGAAGGGGGAGGGCTCAGGGCTGCAGCACTTGCCTCACACTGGGTAACCCAAGCTGCCATGTAGTCCTATTGCGGTTCTGTGACCTAAGCTCAGGCCTCCTGTGTCGCTGGCCTTTGCTCTGGGGATGAACAGATTCCATTGGGGACCCAGACTGTGCATTCGCCAGCCAAGATCAAGGTCAAGAAAGGACTTGTTGAGACCGACTGATGTTGTCCAGGAGGGGAGCAAGCTCTGGCCCAAGGAGTGCCTGAGCCAACAAGTTGTGAGCATCTCTGTTTAGCCAAACACTTGACCATGCACACTGAAGACGGTGAGGCCTCAGGATGAAGGGACTTGGCCAGCTGATAGCTATTTGGTCCACCCTTCCTTCATAGGATGCTGCCTGTGGAAAACAGACCAAGGTCAGGGGCTCTGGGCTTAGAATCATCCAGAAAGGGAGCAGAAATCCCTAAGGAAGCAAGGCTTGAACCTAAAGGACAGGTTGTGGGACTCAGTCTCTCCCCTGCCAGCCCACAGCTTCCCATCTTCCTATAGCCCACCCCCAGTTTTTTAGGGATCCTCCAACCCCTAAGCAGCTTAGCCACTCTGGGAATTTCAGTGTGCTGGAACACACACACACACACACACACACACACACACACAGCCCCAATCCCCTACCTTGAGTGAACAAGCCAAACAAACAGCATTGTTCTCCTACACAATGGACACAAAGAACTTGGGAATTCACAGAATGGTCCAGAATTTCAGCTTCCTTCCCCTCCAAGCCCTAGAGAGCTCCATTGTCTGCAAACTCCACTTAGAATACACACCACTGCTCCAGCTGTGGAGCCACTTAAGACTCAAGGAAGCACCCCCTCCTTCCCTCCCAGTACCCTGCCCAGCTAGGGGAGGAGGGGAGCAGCCTACAGTCCCTGCACCGGTGACAAGCTAGAAATGACTCTGCCCTCAGTGCCACTCGGGGGCGCCCATTTTACAGCTGAAAAGCCTGACAGACCATGATCATGGGACCTGCGGAAATGAAAGTTCCCAGGGTCCCCCTCCTCTGCTCCACGGTGTGTTTATAGACCTCTAAGGACAGAGGACTCCCTGAGTTCCTAAGGCACCTGTTCTACTGAAAGGTCCCACCAAGGACAAAACAATCCTTGAAGGAATGCCATCTAGGTCTCCTAAGGCCCAAATGACTGACCCTCCGCTGGGATGTGGCTCCTGGAATCTGAGTCTTCTAGAAAGCCAGGCGGTAGTGGTGCACAACATCAATCCCAGCACTCAGGAGGCAGAAGTGGGGTGGATCTCTGAGTTCAAGGCCAGCCTGGTGTACAGAGTGAGTCCCAGGATACCCAGGACTACACAGAGAAGAGGAGTATCTTCCAGAGATCAGGCCGTGTGCCTGGGGGTAGACATCAGAGAAGACTG